CGTTTTTTTCTGCAACTTGCTTCACATTTTTGATAACCCATTTTGCTTATATACGAAAGCTGTCCGAACAATCACTAACGTACGAATCAGGGCCCACCAGGACAGGGTCAATACGGCGCTCCTCCACCTCAGGGAGGATACCCGGGTGGCCCGCCTCCCCAGCAACTATCTCAGAGCAGCCCCGCTGAGGTAGAAGGCTACAAGCAACTTCTTAATGCCTGTATTCAAGAGAAGAATCTCCAGGGCTTCTACCCGCCAAACGACCCAAGGATTACCCAGATCGCTCAACAAGCAGGCCCCAAGATCAACCAGGTCATTCAGCGCTGGCGTGTCGCAAAGGAAATTGCAAATGATATTGTCAAGCTTTCCTTGTACGACATTGTCCTCTATATCGGTAGGTTACACGAATCAGCCTATGGAGCGCAGCTGACATGTAGAAGATGACAGTGGCTCCATGCAGTTCGAAGAGGAGGGAAGCCGTATCAAGGATTTGCGCCTCATTCTGGAGCGAGTCTCGTTTGCTGCCACACTCTTTGACCATGATGGTATTTCTCTTCGCTTCATGAACACTGATCTTTCCAACGCACGTGATCAGCAGGGCCGCCCTCTCCAGGATGGTGTGGCCTCTGAGGCTCAGATTGAGCAAATCATGCGTGGCGTGCAGTTCAAGGGTCTTACACCCATGGGAACTGCTATGAGGCAAAAGGTCATTGACGGCATCGTTCTCCAAAAGGCAAGGAACGGTCAGCTGAGCAAGCCGGTACTGGTCATTGCCATCACCGATGGTCAGCCAGCTGGAGAGCCCCAGAACGCCATCTTCGACACCATTCAGTATGCTTTTGATACTCTCAAGGGTTTCCCACAGTATGGCCGCGGCGCCGTTGCATTCGAGTTCGCTCAGGTCGGAAACGATGAAGCTGCCAGGAAGTTCCTCAGTAAACTTGATGAGCACCCAGTAATTGGACCAGAGGTTGACTGTACCTCGAGTAAGTTTGGTCAATCCGCATCTAGGATATCACTAACATTGTGGTAGACTTTGAGAACGAGCAAGAAGAGATGATGCGCGCCAACCCTCCTGTTGATCTCACACCCGATCTATGGATCATCAAGCTTCTTCTTGGCGCCATTGACCGTAGCTACGACTCCAAGGACGAAAAGACTAACCACCAAGCACCTGGTGGATATGGCGCACCTCCAGGTCAGTATGGTGCTCCGCCAGGCCAATACGGCGGCCCACCACCGGGTCAGTACGGAGGCCCCCCACCAGGACAGGGCCAGTATGGCGCGCCACCCCCACAAGGCCAATATGGCGCTCCTCCTCCAGGCCAGTATGGAGCTCCTCCACCAGGCCAGTACGGTGCTCCTCCACCAGGCCAGTATGGTCAGCGACCACCACAGGGTGGCCCTGGTGGGTACCCAGGTCAGCAGCAGTACGGCCAGCCGCCGCCAGGTGGAAAGTACTAGTATTGAACTCCTAGTCATGGCGTCAGCAACCAAAGTTTGGTCTCAATCTAGCATCAGAAGTAGGGAGCAGGAATGTGTCAAGGAACAGCGATGGATATCCTTTAATCAGCCTATGTTTTCCGAGAATGTGTTCCATCACAGAACTATGGCTATGACTCTGCGTGTCTAGGACGGTTTGAATTGTTTGCATAACGGCTATGAATGATATTCCCCCCTCAATGCATGTCTAGCTTGCATGCTTTCACTAGTGTTTTAGAATCCAATTCAATCAATTATGTATAGACCAGTTCTAGCCCCAATCCTATCTTTAGGAGTAGATTTTATCGAGCTTAAAACTTCGCTGATCAGGCCATGCAGATGTGCTCCTTGCTGTGCGTACCCATACATAGCTTCTGCCAGCACAAGCACCCAGAGTAATAGTAGGACCAATGAACTGACAAAAAGCCAAGACCGAAAGACTGTGCACTCTAGAATAGAGCTGAAAGGCTAATACATGAAGAGAGACAGAAGCTACAGTGCGCTGAACAAGTGTAGCCTCAATAGCTTATGTAACTATATAAAATACCTGTGCGGAGCGCTTAGTACTCTGGAATATTATCTAGTTACCAGAGCGGAAATAAATTCAAATAGCGGAATAGTGCCGCGCTACTCTATTATCTCCTCACCACGGTAAGAATGAAGGTAGGGAGCGGAACAGTGCCGCGCGAAAAGAAGACTGAAAAGGCGCCGCAAAGCGACCGTCAGGGGCAACGCCCAGGGCAAAGAGGAAAGAGTCGGATGGGCAGCTTGAAGAAAGCGTCACCTATGCCGTAAGTATATATAGAGATACATAGATACATAGATAAGAATGGTAGAGGTTAGGTATGCTTTATCCAGGGTCTAAAATCAATCACATGCAAAGTTTACAACTGCTAGTTGGCTATCAGCACATGGACCCTGCACGTGTCCGCTGATGACGCGCCATGGCCTGTTCCGAGCAAATCTCGGCCAACATGCTCAGGTAATGCGTGACCTCTTGCTGCTTGATCCGATTTCCAACAACACCATGCTTCAATAACACTCGTCTCACCTAATTTTTTTGATCGTGTTCTGCGGGAGCTGCATCCTATCGCCATGACGGAACACCCGAATCCTGCGGCAAGCACGATTTCCTCGGAAACTGCCGGAGAGCCTTCTCCGCTGCCTGGTGCGGCGCCAGAACCACCCACGCGCTCATCATTGATACGCAAGTTACGCTTTTTGCTCCTGAAATACATTACCAAAGCCGCCAGTGGTACAGACCGCACCATTTTCCGCCTCGCAAAACTATTATCGACTCCCGAAGGCACTGACGCCCTTCTCTGCACAACATGCTACACACTTACTCTGGTTCACGCGCTCTTATCCCGCCTCCTCGAGAAAAGGTTAGCCAGCATCGCGACCGAAATCGCCGAGAAAGCAGATGGAGTACTGTTTCCTGGCGAAACGCTTATAGCCACTCTACCAGCACCCGCCAGCACCAAACTCATAGCCCAGACAGTAGGAAGTGCAAAAGCAGTGGCTGACCTCATATCCGACTATCGAATCTTTGTGCGTTTATGGAGTTTGGTAGGTATATACACTTGGGGGAGATCGACGTACCAGGACCCCTTACCTGAGAATGCTGGCGCAAAGGAAAAGACGCTGCGCGCCTTGACGTGGGCGTCTATCACGTCGTGCGTAGTCTGCCAGGTTCTAGAAGGTGGTGCATATCTCAGCTCAAAGGGAGCCTTGACATCAGCAAGATGGAACGGCGACGCTGGAAAGGCACGAGAGAACGAATGGTGGATCTGGAGTGCGCGGTTCTGGGCTGCGTATGTTGGTATTGAAGTTGTTCGTCTCGGTGTCATGCGAATTAACCGCTCGCCGTCTTCCTCTGCGCCTGTAGTCAACGGAGACGGAGAAAAGGAGGACAAGATTAAATTGGAAGAGAGTATAAGAGCGGAAAAGGAAGAGAACTGGGTTTGGTGGAAAGATCTGGTATCGAATCTTGCATATGCCCCAATGACAGTGCATTGGTCACTAGAGCAGGGGCTCCTCGGCGATGCGGGCATAGGCTTTTGCGGCATGGTTGCGGGCGGATCTATGCTGATTGATGCATGGAGCAAGACTGCATAGATGCCTTCCAGATATCTCTCATCCTATCGTAAGTCCCACGTGAGGATGACAAGAAGCTATTAAAAATAGCCGCTTCCTGCATGCACCATTGCCGTCGGTGATACGGCAGTGGGGTAGTACGTCTTGGGGGGAAGAAAGATACACACACCACATGGATATACCCTTTCCTGCGCTCGGTCAATAAACTCAATTGAACATAAAAAAGCAAAATCCCGACTTGACCTCAACGCATATCCCGTTGACCTAATGAAGCAAATCCTCCATCTTACCCCCTCATCTGCCCCCCCCCCCCCCCAATCCCCCCTCCCCCCCCCCCCCCTCAATTCCCCTTCTCCTCATCTCCATCCAGCAATCTCAGATCACCCACGCACACCGGGCAATCCCGCTGCACCCGTCCATCCATCCAAACAAAACTCCCGAAACCGCTCACACTGTCGCCAAATCGCTAGCTGCTCTAGCCCACCTTCCCCATCCGGCACTAGTCCCCGCGTCGATAGGTAAGTAAGTAACGCCGCCGATTCCGCACGTCCAACCAGCCTATCGAACGCGCACATGTGCGCTGCTTAGCTCAACAGGGGCGACCAACCCGGTTTGCTTGATTAACTATGGTTAAGGTTGAGTAGCGAGGGAGGCCCATGGAGGAAGTGGGAGGGCGCTGCCGAATGAGATGGATAAGGTGAAACATGTGGGTGGGAGCGGGGCTGTTAGATGTGTAGCGCTTGGGAACGGGGTACTATGTGAGATTATGGAGGGGTTATGTCTAAGATGAAAGGGTGAGTGTGCATGGCGAATTAAAAGGGGGGAATGGAAAAGTACATCAACGAGACTCTTGGAGATATACAGTGTTTGAAACGGTGATGGACAAGGATCTAGCATCCCAGTTATCTCTCGAGAAACGAAACACGAGAAAGTATGTAGAATTGAGGACCGGACCGGCGAGATACGTTAGATTTGCCCTTTTCACACTTTTCCCCGTTCGGGTCATACGGGAATTACTTTCTGCGTGACTTGCTGATGTGTTTCCGGGGGGACACTTGGGGTGGTTTGGCCTTCCAGAGTAGGTCTAAGCCCGGAGGTCGACTACGCAGTTTGGTTATGATTTTCGTTTTTCGTACATATCCCAACCAAGCCTCAGGGCATGCAAAGCGCAAGTAAGAAAAGAGTTGGTGGCCTTTTTTTCCTGCGAGCATGGCCAGTTTGGCGGCGTGTCCGTTGGGTCGCATAAAAAAAAAGTAAGCCCTTGATTACTCTATCTTTGAAGTATATAAAGGGTAGTGAATATCCCCCCCCCTCAATCGATACTTGCAAGTGTCAAGAAACAACCACCGGTTTCCCATTGCACCTCACCCTCGTTGTCGTCCACTGTTCCTTCCACTCACTCGAACCAACAATCATTCACCATGCAGTTCTCCACTCTTCTCCTGTCTCTCCTCCCCACTCTCGCCCTCGCTCTCCCTACAACCGACTCCGCGGAATCCCTTGATGTTCTCGCTGCCGTCGAGTCCAGACAGTCGTGCTACGTAAAGTGCGGGTCGACATGCTACACCTCTGCGCAGGTCACAACTGCCCGTAACGCGGGCTACAGTTACTACCAGAACGGCGACCAGGCTGGTAGCTCGACTTACCCCCATACGTACAACAACTACGAGGGCTTTTCGTTTTTGGTTTCCGGACCGTACCAGGAGTTTCCGCTTAGGACATCGGGAGCGTACACTGGTGGTAAGTGACTTTTTGCTTCTTAGTTTTGATTAAGACATCCTTTTTCTTTTCAATCTTCTTCTTTGTTTACTGATTTTGATTTCTTGCAGGCTCGCCTGGTGCCGATCGTGTCATTTTCAACACTCGGGGTCAACGTGCGGGAGAGATTACGCACACTGGTGCTAGCGGTAACAACTTTGTTGCTTGCTCCGGTTGGTAAACTGCATCATGCAAGAGTATGAAAGCAGTGGCGCAAGGAAAAAACAAGAGTGTAGGACAGTCAAAATGAGGCTGTCGTTCGCTACGGCCAGTGAGCAAGTCGCAACGAGGGATTGCCACATCCTGCTACCAGAGAGCTGGTGTTGGTATCGCAGAGATTTTTAACGAAAGGGATACGAAATTTGTATATATGAATGAAACCATTGAAATAAGGATCTGACATTTCGAAATAAGACTAAATATCAAAGTGCGTCCCAAAATACATCAAACGTGAACACAAATGACTTATTTACCCAGAAGCAGACTATATTGGTGCCATGTCGCTCAGAACACAAAAATGGATTACGAATATTTCGTACCCCAATATCGGTTTGTGGAATCTGAATATTCGAATACGAGCAAGATTAAGGTTATATAAGCGATATTCCGGATTATCCTATCTACTCCAACTTGTAGGGCTATCGCGCGTCATTAGCCGGGGACGTGCAGGGCTAGCTAGCCTAGTATTAAACTTTGCATGTGATCGATGTTGGACCCTGGACACCACACACCCAAACGCATTGGCGATCTACATGCGTCTTAACTTCGGCGCTTCTGTCGCATGTCTCGGCTGCCAACTTTAAAGCATGGAAGGGGGGGGGGGGTCACATACCGATACAAGATGTAACAACGTTTAACATGCTACTACCAGCAAGACGCATGACATCAACACGCATTTGACAAGCTTTCTGGGGCCTCGTATTTGGCATCCTTGTCGACTCGATATCTTGCCATATCTCCCCACGACTCCCCACTTCACACCGCCACGTCTACAAGGCGGGCGGGCTGGTTTCATTGCGGGAAAAAAGAGAAGAGCACGGGTGCCTAGAATCCTTTAATCCTGCTTGCTTGGAAAACATCACCATTCCTGCCCCCCCCCCCTTCTCAGCGGCACACTTCGCTCGTTTTGTTGTTGTGCAAACCAAACACAACACCAACAATGTCGACGACGCCCGACGTCCCTGCGCGTCGCCCGACGTACCCCCTCGCCCATGCCTTTCGCCGCAAGCCCCGCCGTATACCACTTGTGCTGCGCTTCTCCAAGGGCGCGGTGCACGACATCATTCTCTTGCCCGTGATTCTGCACTCGCTCTTTACCGTCCTTATCGTATACATCGACACCCGCTATGTCGACTCGATCAGCATCCCGTCGACCATCATCCCCTCGCTCTCCATAGTCGTAGGCCTGATGCTCGTCTTCCGCAACAGCACAAGTTACGACCGCTTCTGGACGGGACGAAACTGTCTGACAACCATCAACACCGCCGTCCGCAACCTTGCGCGAATCTCCCTCGTCAACTCGCGCGACAAGGACGGCTACGCAACCGAAGAACAGCGTCGAGACACCGAACGCATCGTCCGCGTCCTCATCGCCGTCTTATACTCCATCAAACACAACCTCCGCGCCGAATTCAACATCCCTCCAGCCAGCCTCGCCGCCCTCCCTCCCCACCCAACCTCCTTCTCCTCGCAGCGCTCCCGCCCCGTCTCCCGGCGCCCCAGCTACATTGACCGCACCGCCTCCTCGAGCGCCGCCCAAAGCACCTCCACCACGCCTTTACTCGGCCAATCCACCCTCACCCTCGAGAACGGCGATGGCATCGTCCACACCAAAAAGGACGAATACGTCTCGCTCCTGCCCGACGGGCTAATGGGCTACGAAGACCAAGGCCTAGGCCTCCCACTCCAACTCACCATCCTGATCGAAGGCTACATCCGGCGCGGCGCCGACCGCGGCTGGTTCAACGCGCCCTTGTCCTCACAAATGAGCGTGCAAATCAACTCGCTAGTCGATGCCTACGGCCGCATGGAAACGATCCGCTCCACCCCCATCCCCGTCGCGCATCTCATCCACCAAAAGCAAGTCCTCGCCCTCTACGCTTGCGTCCTGCCCTTTGCCATTGTCGATGACTACAAGTGGTGGAGTGTGCTTGTTGTCGCCATTGTCACGTTTACGCTCTATGGTATCGAGGGGATTGGCGTGCAGTTGGAGGATCCGTTTGGGTACGATAAGAATGATATCAAGATGGATGGTATTATTGAGGATACGAGACAGGAGATTATGGTCTTGTTGGATGAGTGGAAGGCGAGTCATGAGGGCAGGGCTATGGGCGGGATGTTTGAAAATGATGCTTTTTACTAGGGTGGTGGTTGCGGGGGGGAGGGG